ACCACGCCCAGCTAATTTTTGTATTTTTAGTAGAGACAGGGTTTCATCATGTTGGCGAGGCTGGTCTTCAACTCCTGACCTCGAGATTCACCTGCCTTGGCCTCCCAAAGTGCAGGGATTACAAGCGTAAGCCACCGTACCCGGCCTGGAGCTGGTTTCTTATTCTATCTGCAACTCTTTATTTAGTTTTTTGTTTGTTGAAAATTTTTTTGTTCCTTTGAGACAAGGTCTTGCTCTGCAGCCCAAGCTGGAGTACAGTGGTGCAAACATGGCGCACTGCAGCCTTGACCTTCTGGGCTCAAGTGATCCTCTTACCTCAACCTCCCAAGCAGCTGGGACTCCAGGCGTGTGCCACCATGCCCGGCTCCACTGGCAACTCTGCAGTTTCATTTAACATATAGCATCTGCTTCCCCCTACCTCCTTCAGAAATGTGAATGCCTCTGTTGTTCTAGATCCACCAGGCTCCTGAGTCCCTCATCTCCTTTTTGTCTTAGCAGGTTACACATCCATTTGCCTCCCCTCCCTGCTCCTATCTCTCCATCTCCTGTCTTTCCCAGCTCAGCCCAGAAACCAGCATCCCTCTCCTCCCTCCCACAAAGAAGCACACAGCTGTCTTGGTTGGCACCAGTGTTTATTTCAGGAAGCAGGTCTGGAAGACCTGGGTCTGTCCAGTGGAGTCCTGGAGCCTCCAGATTCTCACTTGGCCTTCGGGTTACAGAACTTCCGTCCAGCAAAGACAGCCTTGTCCCCAAGAGCCTCCTCGATCCTAGAATGCAGGCAAAGTCAGGGCTGCTGCCTTCCAACCCAACAGCCTTCAGTACCCCAATGCCCAGGCCCAATGCTCCCACTGTACCTCATGAGTTGGTTGTATTTGGCCAGACGCTCCGAGCGACAGGGGGCGCCAGTCTTGATCTGTCCTGTGCAGAGCCCCACCACAAGATCAGCAATGAATGTGTCCTCAGTCTCCCCAGAGCGGTGGCTCACCATCACTCCCCAGCCATTAGACTGAGCGAGTTTGCACCTGGGTGGGGAGGACATTTGATGAGGACTTCTGGAACCTCCTCGGTGGGAGAGCAGGGGTTGGGTAGGGCCTCTCCTTTCTGAGTAGCAGGCACTCTGCAGGGAGGGCAGTGACTAAGTTCGTTGAGAAGTAGGAGAGGAAAAGACTTCTCATCTTGATTTTGGGCTCTTGAGATGCTGCTGAGAAGAACAGCAGAATCAGAGAGGAATAATGTGGGGTGGGGGTGAGGGTCATGCCAGGGCCACAGTGGCAAAGCTCTTGGAGTCAGGCCAAGGATTAGTCAAAGCCTTGAGGTCAAGGTGTGGGTAGGTCAGGTGCCAGGAGAAGGGTAAACTTGGAATTAGTGAGACTGTAGCTGAACTGAGCAGAGCTGGGGCAGAGGGAGGCTATGGCAAGCCTCAGGGTCAGTAGGCACTCACGCCTGGATCGATTCAGTCACCGAGCCAATCTGGTTGACCTTCAGCAGCAGACAGTTGCAGGCCTTCTTCTCAACGGCCTGGGCAATCCTCTTGGGGTTGGTGACTGTCAGGTCATCCCCCACAATCTGGATGTCCACTCCCGAGAGGAACGAGGTCCAAGTGGCCCAGTCATCCTGGTCAAAGGGGTCCTCGATAGAGACCACAGGGTAGTTCTTGATGAAGCTCTTATACAGCTCTCCGAACTTCTCCCCAGTGATGCGCCGTGCGGGATCATCAGGTGACTTGAAGTCAAGATCGTACTTCCCATTGCGATAGAACTCAGATGCTGCCACATCCATGCCGATCACCACCTTGTCTGGATAACCAGCTGCCTGGATGGCCGTCTTCAGCAGCTCTAGGGCTGGGAGAGGAACAAGACAGGACCTGAGACTCCAGTGCCCCCTTGTCTGCAGCCTCCCCTGCCCGTGTGGAGATCCAGGGGGTCTGCCCTCGGTGGTGCTCAACACTGACCCTCATTGTTCTCCAGGATGTTGGGTGCGAAGCCACCTTCATCACCCACATTGGTGGCATCCTTCCCATACTTGGCCTTGATGACCCCCTTGAGGTGGTGGTAGACCTCAGCACCAATGCGCATGGCTTCCTTGAAGGAGCTGGCCCCCACAGGCAGAATCATGAACTCCTGCATGGCCAGCTTGTTTCCAGCATGGGAGCCCCCGTTGATCACGTTGAAAGCCTGAGATGGGGAGAGGGTGCCTGGATCTGGGCCAGGGCATAAGGGCTCAAAAAGGGATGGGGGCAGGGGGTGTTGGGGTGGAAACCTGGCTTCGCTACTTGTTGGCTCAGTGGTCTAGGATGAGTAATTTTGCTCATGAGCCTCTTTTCTCATTTCTTTTTCTTTTTTTTTCTTGAGACAGAGTCTTGCTCTATTGCCCAGGCTGGAGTTTAGTGGTACTATCTCCGCTCACCACAACCTCCGCCTCCTGGGTTCAAGTGATTCTCCTGCCTCAGCCTCCTGAGTAGCTGTGACTACAGGTGTGCACCACCATGCCCGGCTAATTTTTATATTTTTAGTAGAGACTGGATTTCACTGTGTTGGCCAGGCTGGTCTCAAACTCCTGACCGTGATCCGCCTGCCTCAGCCTTCCAAAGTGCTGGGATTACAGGTGTGAGCCACCGTATCCTGCCTCTCTTTCCTCATTTCTATAAAATGGGGATAGCACCAACTTCCCTGTAGGATCTTTTGCTAAAAATTAGAGAAATTGAATGTAAAGCTCTTAGCATGTGCCTGGTATATAATATCTAACACTTTTATAGCATTTACTACATGCCAGGCACTAACTACTTGACATTTTAGCTCATTTCATTCTCAAAACACCTATATTCATTGGTATCATTATTAACCTCCATTTTACAGATGGAGAAAGGGACACATAGAGCAGTTAAAGAACTTGCCTAAAACCATACAACTAATAACAGGCAGAGCCAGGATTCAAACCCAGCAATCTATCTCTAGAGTCCATGCTCTCAATCTTTCTAGTAACTAACAAGAAATGGTAACATTATTAGTGAGATTAAATTCAAAAGGTTTCCCTTCAGTAAGAGGGCACTGGTTTTAGAAGGGACTCAAGGACCGGGTGTTGGTGGCGCACACCTGTCATCCCAGCACTTTGGGAGGCTGAGGCAGAGGATCACAAGGTCAAGAGATAGAGGCCATCCTGGCCAACATGGTAAAACCCTATCTATACTGAAAATACAAAAATTAGCTGGGCATGGTGGCGTATGCCTGTAGTCCCAACTACCTGGGAGGCTGAGGCAGGAGAACTGCTTGAACCCGGAAGGCAGAGGTTGCAGTGAGCTGAGATTGCACCACTGCACTCGAGCCTGGGGGATAGAGCGAGACTGTCTCAAA